TGACCCCAGCATTCATTCCTGCCTGTGGCAGGGGGTCAGGCTAGATGATCTGTTCAGGTCCCTCCTGACCCTGGCTACTATGAAACTATGAAGCCAGCTAGAGACCAGGCTGGCACTGCAGCAACAGTGTGGATTTTGGCCATGCTCTGCTGTGATGTCTAGACCCCCCTAACCCTGCACTGGAAAAAGAGAAGTCTCCGAGCAGAAGGGGCCATGAAGAAGCCATAAGGGCTTTATCACACTTCTACCCTACATCTACTCATCCCAGGATTTGGAATAAGGGCTTTTCCTTCCCACTAAAAGATTTAGCTTTCCAGCAGCAAATTACTAGAGTGAATATTAAATAGGCAGATTTGTTTTTAAACGATCACGCCATGCCCACAAAAGTCTCCCTTGGAAATGTCTTGGGAGCGGCCAGTAGAGCTGAAGGATGATCCGCTCTGAGCTCGGTTCTCTGCGACACGCAACGAGTCACCCCTTACTCACAGCCATGATGTCACAATCAAACCCGGCAACAGCAACGCTGCCTCATCACAACAGGATCAGAGCCGAGGGAGGTCAGCACCTGCTTAAAATCCTTAAAGGAAAAGTTCCAGTCGGACTGGGTCGGTTCCTCATCTTCCACGGGAGCTGGCTGATGGGTGAGCTCCTCAATAACACTCTTCCGGCGAGTAACCTCCAGGGTGCTCTGACAACCCGAGATTTCCTTCTGGCTGGACAGCTCCTGCATGGCGCTCTTCTGCTGAGAGATTTCGTCCTCCTCCGACGGTGGGGGAACACTTGTGGATTGACTCCACAGCGCTTGGAGGTCCTTCACCACTTGGTGTTGATAGTGCAGCTTTGAGAGCAGGAGAGGAAAACGGAGGGAGGTGTCAAGACTCCTTTTGCAAATTAGGATTTGGTGATTAAAACCAACACATTATCTCCTTCCAACCTCTGGCTCAGAAGCCTTGAGATGCATCAACCCCCTCATAGACCCTGGAAATTGAATTCCCCAGGACATCAGCCAGGATACCCTATAGCCGACCTCACCCCTGGGTTCTTCCTGTGGAACAAATCTTCTTCGGTGAGGTAAGTGTTCACCGGAGAGGGGATTTGCTCTGGTGTCCGAATTCGATCAAGCAGCTCTTTCAGGTTCTCCTCCACGATAAGGGCCATTTCTCGCTCGGCCAGATCAGCCTGGAGCGTCAAGGCAAACACAAGAGAGAGTTGAGTCCCTGATCCACACGCACATGCATGGCTAAATTCACAGACACGCTACTTTAAAAGCACAGCCCACAGCCAGAGACATACAAGTACACACATTTGTGCTGTTATTTATGACGGCCATTAAAATGATCATAAAAACATCCGGATTTTAAAAATAATGGTGTAATTTTCAAACTCTTCTGCAATTGATTGATGTGCTATAGATAACTATGCTTCAGCCACACCAATAAGGAATGAATGTCAAAAAGGACAAAAAAAAGAGAAAGCATTTTTTTTAAAGAAAAAATGGGGAGCAAGGAAAGTTATATAAGGCAGACACGATCAGATTTTATACAGGTGGCCTGAAAATGGATTTTGGTGCCATGTGGAATCCCTCCTGCACATGGATTTAGAAACCCTGTGTAACCAGGTGTACTATATGCAAAAATAATCACCTCACCCGCAACCCCCATCTCCTGAAAATAAAAAGAGGGCAGCCCCCAGGCCATCCTGTACTCTGTGCTTACATGCTTCATTCAAGGTTCACATTCACACACCACACTGTTACCTTCACTTCCTCCCTTAGGCCAGCCAGTTTGTCCTGATACACAGCAATACCCCACAGGGATACCTTCAGCAGAGCCCCTCCTAATAATTCAGGGCACGTGCCAAACTCCCAAGACTCACTGAAGACCCCTGCTTTCTCTGACTTGAAGAAGAAGGAAAAGTGTCTAGTTTCCCCAGGCAGAATCACACCTAAAACAACAAAGCAAACCCATCAGGCACTTGTCTACAAGAGTGCCCTTGGCCAGATGCATCCCTGTCCTGACACTTCACAGATCTGCTCATTTCCTGGCCTTTGCTAGCTCTCAGCTGGAGATCATACTTCCTCTCAACTTACTTCCAGATTAATTCCTCCCTGATAGGCTGCTGAATGGAGTTTTATCTCCATACTGAAGGCTGTAATTTTACCTGGAGCCCAGTACTCATTCCAGGGTCTAGCTGCCATTTATCTATCAGGAAATGACAGGGGCCAGACATGCTGCACATCCACCTTCTGAGGACTCGCAGACTTTTCTTGGAGTCCCCTTGAATGGGACCTGTCCCCATAGTGTCTGATCTGGAGGCCTGAGGCAGCCTTCTAAGGCAAATTACAAATACGCTTGCTCCAACCTTGATCTGGATTCACATCCTCGTGAAACCCTTGAACAGAGTCCACCTCACATGACTGCGCTGGCATGGTTGAGCTTTAAGAGACATGCATCTCACCTACCCGGTCTGGTGTTGAAGTAGAAACGTGGTATCCCTTTCATCTTGGTTTCTTCAAAGATGACCTTCTGGGGCAGTCTCCGCCAATCATACCAGATGGCAGCTGTGCCATCATTGCTCACGGTCAGGTAGGATTCAACCTTCTCTCCTGCCAGAACTTCAAAGGTGAGCCGGGCAGCAATGCCAACTTCATCCTACGGGGACAAGGAAGAGCCAAAGATGACAGTCTCTTCATACTGATAAGCATTGCCTTGTCATAGTGATACCTAGAGAGGAACTTAAACTACTGGAGGGATCCTAACAGAACATGCTGCGAGGCAGGCACCAAGTTTCATAGAGAAGCATGGCTGGAAGGGACCTCAAAGTCACAGTATCAGGAGGAGGGCTGGGAGATTCAGCTGATAAACCTGAAGAGAGCTCTTCTGGCTTTGTTCGCAACCCCTCCAGGCAAGCACAGTTTTAGCAGCCACTCAGTACCCTTCAGAATAACCCCCGAGCCACGTGGGAGAGGAGCTGCACTCACTGTGCAGCTGTGGCTTGGGAAGCAAAGCAAGTTCAGCCTCACCATACTACAAAGCAAGTGCCAGTTTACTTTGTGAGAGGTGCTGCTGCTGATCCAGCGAGCGGGCTGTCCACAGAAATTCAAAGACGGACCGAACACGGGTTCTGGAACCACGTCTGGATAATCTTCTAAGGGGTCTCTGCCGAACAGAGAAACAGTTCATGTCTGCTTGGGTTTGTGCAAGCCAGGTCCAAGGCATTCAGGAACAGAAGGGTGGTTCTCAAGGGACACATTAACAAAGAAATAATGATCTAATTCACTCTTTTCTGGGTTCACTCCCGATTAACCAGTTCATCTGTGGGGCTCTCAGGGGCCAACAGACTGAAAATAAATCAGAGTCCCTCTCACTACAGACAGTGCCTTTGGACTGCTGTTTCCAGGAATGAAGCTGCCATGATCTCTACTAAGAAGCAGCAGGATAGCATTCCTGAAGACGACAAGCAATCAGGACTCATGGTAGAGGTGATATCTTTTAGTAGACAAACTAGATTTTGAAGAAGACAAGGTCCTGCCTCAGTCCTGAGGACACAGGATGGAACGGAGGCAAAATCCACCAAAGACTGGAGCAAAGGTAAGGCCCATGGATGGACTGGGAAACAGGGTATGACCAAAGAGCCAAAATCCCTTGTCACTATCGAACGGTACTTACGGACTCTCCGGCTTTTCAGAGGCAACCTCATTATCTTTCTCACTGGGTGGGAAAGGCTGTGCTGAGACAGAAGTGAAAGGCTCCCCTTTACCAATCACTTCCAGTCCATCTAGGTCCTTGGCAAAAATGCAATTGGCATAAAGAGAGGGGAAAGGTTGGTTAATTTTTCTTCTTACATAAAAATCAGATCCAAGATGTAGGTGCAAGCAAGGTGAAATGCAGGCACCTGCACCCGAACTACAGTCTAAACCACTCTCAGGTGCTGCCTAACCCCAGCTGTGCCTTAACTCCACAAGTGCCTCAGTCTTTGGCTTGAAAGTTTTCCCAGGTGCATACAGTTGTGCACATGCAAAGCTCCCAGTCATGGCAGGGCTGAAGAGCCCAGCACATGAAAGAAACCAGGCGTTTCTTTGCCTCAGGCCCCTGATCCATGATCCACTCTGCAGTTCCAGAGCACACCTAACACATCAGGTGACAGGATCAAACTCCCCAAAAAACACAGGTGTGACACCTGCTTTCTTCCAACACGCAGTGGAAAGGGAAGGTGCTGGTGTCCCCTACTTATCCAAGCCTAGTGGCTGGAATGATTACCTATGAAGTGGGAGACCCAAGCTCAATTCACTTCTTCCTCTGCCTGACGTGATTCAAGCCCACATCTCCCACCTCCTGGACAACACCCCAATCACCAGGCTGCAGGCTATTGTGGGACAGGGTCATTCTCCACCCCAACCCCTGCTGAAGTTAGAAAGAAAAGATTTCAACATCCACAGGACCAGAAGGAAAGAGCCAGGAGGAACACACCTGTAGGCTTTGTGGGGCCTAATTTTCAAGTTTTTTCTCGGAGACCCCAAGTTCCAGGTCAAGTTATGCTAGACTGTTACAGCCTTCAGCATGGAAGAGGCAACGCGCAATGCACTACCTTAGCAGTGGTGGTAACAGTGCACAGTACACTGCCACAGTGCTGAGGACAGGGCCCTTTGTCTTACCGGCTGATTAAAATCCAGCTCTTCCAGGAGAGATTTGAGCTCCTGTCTTCGATGCTTCAGGAAAAGACTTTTGTCCCAGGTGAGACGGAACGGGGGCTCCTTTGGTGGCTGGGAACCTATGGCATCACCCAGACAGGGGCTCAATATTTAAGTTGTTTAACTCACTCCCTGAGCTTTGATCGTGCAATGCTCCGAATATCCCTGGACAACATCTCTGAGGAACACACGGCCTCATCAGTGTGACCATCATCATAGCAGTGTCCAGCCCATGTTAACGAGGACTACAGCAGTGTAGCCTTTTATACACAGTACATCCCTCTATGTGACGACTGGATGTCCAAAAGAGTGTAACCAGCTTCGCCAGGCAAGGCCCTGCCACTAGCAGTGTGAGCCTCTTCCCAGCAGCTTAAACCAGTGGAAGGTTATTTAATCTCTGCTGCTCTGCACCCCTTTCCCTCTACTCTTTGGCTCTGCCGGGGGGACGTTCCCTCACCTGTCTCCATCCGGATAGTCCGAGGTTTCCCGATGTGAGTAACTGGCTCTGGGTAGCCACGTTCCTTCTGGGTCAATGTCAGGGTCAGGCCAGTGAGCTCATCTCCGATATAAGTGGACTGGCTCCAGAACTCACTTCCTACGCGGTAGCCCTAGGGAGGAAAACAAAGGTCACAATGACGGATACTTTCAGGCAAGAAAAGCTCATCTGTCGATCTCACAGGCACGGGGAGCTAAACATTAGGCAACTTCTCCTATGGCTCAGAAGAATACTTAGAAAGCTCTTCATAGGCAAGCAGAACAAGCAGCGTTTCTAGGTGGTTACCATCAAAGACAAAAAAATCTCTTACTTTTCACTGTGTCACCTGTGATGACCCCCCCTCAACCCAAATGACATAATAACTAATTGAAGGATCAAGTGATACTAATGTGAGAAATTTGCATCAGTGTGGATATACTGTTAGTCCCATACATGTCTGGTAGATGCTACACGGCCAACATTTTAAACCCAAATTATGCTTCTTTTTAAAATAACAGGGCTCCACAATTCATTGAGGACCTGCAGTGGATCGGTAAGCGTCTTCAACACTAGGTCCAATTCTTCATGGTACTAACACCTTAGCCCAACTGACCCCCTTTCTCAAGAAGCAAATAGTCTGGACTCTGCAGAAGTGAGATGCTCACCTTCCCAGGATGGAGAGCAGGGAGGCAGCGGTCAATGAGGGAACGCTCTTCTTGGCTCCGCCGGAAATCACTGG